TTTTTTTTTTTTTTAATGAAGCATGTACTACAACAATTTAAATTTACTACACAGAAAAAAAATTTGACAAATATATGCAGCGGGCACTCATTTAAATAATTTAAAAAAATTTTTTTTTTTTTTTTGCATGATAATAATAATAATAATAAAATTAAAAAAACTTTTGTGATGAAAAAAGAGAGAGAAAAGCCAATTTATATAAATAATAAAAAAAAAAAAAAAAAAAAAAGTAATTAAATGATGAGTGACGTGGGATAAAACTCTACAGATAAATAATTTGGAGAAAAAAAATTTTTTTTTTTTTTGGAGTTTACCGAAGAAAATATCAGGATGTGGAATTCAAAATGGCCGACTTTTTTAAAAAAGCGACCATTTTTTTTCTTTATTTTCTCTTCCTTCCTGAAATTTTCTTCGAGTATATTTACTTTTTTTTTTTTTTTGTTTGTTTAAATCGTTCATTAAAAATTTATAAATACCAACATTTATGCATCTAGATTCGTTGATAAAAAAAAAAAAAAAAAAAAAAAACATGAAAAAAATATATATATATAATAAACTTGCCTACACACCTTGTTTTAAGTGCCCAAATAAGATTACTTACTTCTTCAAAAACTTTTCAGAATTAGAGTCCAGTTCCTGAACCTATCCAGACAAAATAGAATTGTAATTTCGATATTTTGTCAAACAAACATTTTTTTTTTTTTTTTTGCTTTGCTTTTCCGACACTTTCACAGACCATTTAAATAATAATAATAATAATAATTAAATTTTCAACTTAAATAAAAATAAACAAATTTTAATTTAAAAATTTATGTGTATACCCAATAGTTTATGAGAAAAATAATCACTTTTATTTAATTAATTTAAAACTATTACTTTTCTTTTCTTTTAAAATAATAATAATAATAATTTAAATTTCTCATAATATATATTTAATTTATTTAAAATGATTTATGAGAATGTGATATATTTTAATAAAAAAAAAAAAAAAACAAATTAATTAAATTTTTATATTTTAATGGTATACACATAAATTAATTAAAAATGTTCTTTGAAAGTGACGAAAATGCAATCAAAATTTATCTTATATAGAAAAAAAAAAAAAAAAAAACAAATTTAAAGAGCAAATATCTTGGGTGCACTTACTTCACAAAAATGGGAAGCTATTACAAATTTAAAAAAAAAAAAAAAATTAAAAACCAGGCTTTTTAGGAATATTGCATGACCGCAACCCGTTTTAAATTTGCGTTTTTCTTTTCTTTTTTTAAACAGAAAAAAAAAAAAAAATTAAACCCACATCGCCTTAATATATATTAATTAATAAAAGGCCTGGCACCCATAAGATTATAGGAATATAAACAATACAGTAAAGTAAAGTAATAGTAATAATAATAATAATAAAAAGAATGAATTTGTTCATGCTTTGTTAAATATATATATATAAATATATCCCTAATTATTTTACCATCGAATTAATAATATTTTAATAAAAGTTTTTTTTTTTATTACTTTTAGTTAAAGAGAGAGAAGAGAGAGAAAGAGAGAGAAAGAGAGAAAGAGAGAGAGAGAGAGAGAGAAAAGTTTTTTTTTTTTTTTTAAAATATTATGTTAAGTATTACTTTTTTTTGGGTGAAAATCGAAATGATAGCTCTTATTCGATTTTTTTTTTAGAAAAGATTCACATATTAAAGCATCTAATTTATATATATATATATATATATCTAGAATAAAAAATTTAATATAGCCTCAATTTAAATATCGCCTTATTTTAATAATGCAGCCTTGATAACGTTATTCAATTCTAACAAAATTTTTATACTTAAAAAAAAAAAAAAAACGATTATGGACAATTCACCGAGTTTAAAAAATTAGAAAAATAATTTTTAATGCAATTTTTAATTTTCTATATAGCTTGTGTGTGGGTGTGGGTGTGTAAGTAAATTTTTAATAATAATTTTATTATTGATCTGTAATAATAGTTAAAAGCAAATATTTTTAAGCAAATAGAAGCACATACTTGTACTTTTAAACTACTACTTAGCTCTATTTAACTTAATACAGGCATTAAATATTAATATGTATATATATATATATATATATATATAAATGTTTGTTTTATTACCAAAACTGCATTATCTATAAAAAGCGTTTTAAATAATTACGAAATAATATTAAATAGTAAAGGCAAATGTTTTTGTACAGAGGGTGAGAATTTAAAAAAAAAAAAAAAACTTTTTTAAGGACAAGTACATTAATTAATTCAGGATCTTGGAATATTAGATATATATATATCGCGGTTGTTTAAGGGACAGGGTGCCAGAGTAGAACTAATCCCTCAGGAAGCAAACCGGATCATCTAAAACGAGGGATCATGGGCGCCAACATCGGGGGCCCAGGAAAAGCCACAGGGGGGTAAGCAACTCCGGGAATCGCACCTGGCAATGCACCAATAGCAGCTGCATGCATTCCTGGAACTGGTAAAGGCGGTCCTCCAATAAGTCCTGAAACAAAATAAATTAATATTAAAACTTTGTAAAAAAAAAAAAAAAAAAAAAAAAATTGGTCTTAAATTTATTTTTTTAATAATTTAAATCTAATAACTATAAAAAATTTTAAAAATAAATTATAATTCCTAATTGAAACGTGTTATTACATCAAATACAGAAAATTATAAATAAAAAACCTGTAGGTTTTTATACTTTTAATTATACATATATATGTAATTGTAATAATTTAATGGATTCCGATTAAATTTTTAAAAATTTCACGTAATGAAAATTACAATTAATGTAAAAAAAAAAAAAAAAAAATTAAATTTATTACCTGGATGAATTGCGACAGGCGGTGTAGGCCTAATCATTGGCATATGCATTGGCATAACTGCAAACCGCATGACGGGAGGACCCATGGGAGATATCATGGCTACACTTGAAACTGGTACTAAAGGATTTTGCATTGACACGGGCACCAAAGCAGGACCCAACGCAAATTGAGGTCTGATTTGAGGTGTAAACTTTGGTCTTTCATCTTCTGCAGAAGTTGATTGTTCTTGTTGCTTTACTTCAGTTTTCGGTTGGTATTTAGGTAATCGTGCCCGAATTTCTTCTAATGAAATGTCTTCCGGCGGATGAATAATTTTACTGGATGCTCCAGTAGTATTAATTAAATTAATTTTTTCTGGCTCAGTTTTTGTTTCTGTTGATGTTTTACTTCTACCATCACTATATGCAGGAAAAGTAGGTTTTACAGGTCCTATTTGTGACGTGCTTGTGATGGGTTTGAAATCTACACCCACCGGAGGTCCAGTCGTGGTTTGAGTTGACTAAAATTCAATAAAAGATGTGTAAATATTTCTTTAAATAAAAATTTTTCTATTTAAATAAACTGAATTATTTACTTACCACAACTGCGCTAGGAAACAATGGTTTCGGCGGCTGCGTGGGCAATCCCGGCATTCCAGGCATAGCCATTTGAGGAGGGCCCATACCCACTGGACCCATCATCATGCTGTAATTATTTTCGGTTGAATTAAAAACACAATATTATTTTTTTAGGACTTTAAAACAATACATACTGTCCAGGTCCTAGAAAAGGAGGCCCCATTGGCCCCATAGGTCCTATCATTGGATGAGGAAAGATTCCTGGAGGTCCAATTCCAGGCATCATATTTGGAGGCATACCTGGTCTAATCATACCAGGTACGGGTCCTGGTGTTCCAAGACCTGCAGGTCCATTTAAAACTGTATCTGGTTTTGTTTTCTTAGGGGCAGGTTCATCTTCTCCTGAACTTGGGGATCCTGCTCTAACACCTCCCGATTGTTTGCTTGCTTTTTGTTTTTCATGCTCCTTAATGTCATCAGGAGGTATACCTTCCATTCCATAAATTTCTATTTCTATATTAGACCTATTGGGTAATGAATTTGGAACTTTGTCAATAGTCTCTTTGTGCACTTGCATACAATGTATTGAGAGTCCAGGACCTGTATATAACTTTTTATAACATATATGACACTTAAAATGTTTAGCCTTTTGATGTTGAATTAATATTTTTTCATCGTCAAACTCTCGATTGCAATACCTAAATTATACTTATTAAGAAAAATAATCACAGTATATATTATATACTATATATTATAATTATATACTATATATTATATAATATAGTATATTATATACTATATAGTATGTAATTGTTCTGTAACAAATAACATAATTATAGAAAAAAAAGAGAAATAAATAGATATTAATTTAGATATTGCACTTTTCGATTAATATAATTTTATGTGCATACCACATTATTATTATTTTAGATAGTTATTTTCAGAAAAAAAAAAAAACCAAATTAAAAAAAATTAAAGTCTGTTATTTATGTAAATATTAGCATGTTTTTAAAATGATGTAAAATTTATAATGTTGATTTTTATTAATTTTATTTTCAATAATAATATGTGTGTCTAACTCGATACTTCAAAGCTTTAAAATTTCAAATTTTATCGAATGTCTTTTAAATTTATGAAAAATAAGATTTTTTTTCTAATAAAGTTTTACAATTACTTTTATAACAAATGAGTTTCATTTAATTTAATACCTATTTTTTAATATATAGTATACAAAATAATTTTTTTGTAAAAATTGATAATGCTTTAGCATTTCATTAAAAATGATAAATTATATAATCATTTGCCCACCCAAGAACCAAATTTTGTAAGCAGAATTCGGTACAAAATTTTTTTTATCAGTTATTTACTGCGAGGAACAATTTTGAAAAAATAAATTAGTGTTGAAAAAAATTATAACACCGCAAATTGAAATATTACACAGTATTTCATTTACGTATAAAATTTTTTTAATAATTAAAAAATTTTATAATTGAGTTGTGTATAAACCTACGAATCGTTTAATAAAAGACTATGAGTTGATAAAAAGATAGTTAAATTTCAATAATATCGAAATTATTGAAACATTGCAAACAATCAATTTTGCTTGCTTTAGCTTATGCTTCATATAAAAACTAACGATCCACGCCTCATTTTTAATAGAATTTTTACATTTTGAATTAAAAATTAACTTAATACTATTCTGTAGTAAAAGGATACCAACACCATGGTTTAGACTGCTTCTTTTTTTTTCGTCCCATTCTACAAAAAAACACTAATTTAATATATTTTGAAATATGTTACGTCGACCCTGAATAAAAACAAGATGGCGTTACAAAGCCTTCTAAATTATATTGTCGACAAGACACCACTACTTTGCGCCTCTTTATGATTTTGCAAATAATCTATTAATAATTTTATTTCACATAATATTGATTCCGTCGTAAAATTTTTAAGTTTTATTTACTCAAATTTGAAAATTATTTGCGAATAATAAGATTACTTATAATAATAGCACATAATAACATTCCTTATACAATACCTATACAGTATAACAATATAAAATGTAATTTAGATTTTAAAAATATCAGACGAAAAAAAAAGTTTATATTAAAATTTAGCAAAAAAAATCAAACAAAGATGACGATTAAAAATACTTTATTATATCTTCAGTCCGACAT